TGTTAGAATATATGATACGGAGCAGCGACATAGAACTCGTGCCGGAACCAAACGATTTTATGGGGAAGACTATGCGGAGTAGATTTTCGTCTGGTCATAGCAACACACGCAGACTGATATACCCGTATTCATTAGTTTCTAACCTTAGCTAGATTACTTGGCCTCTTCACTAACACGAACATCCTAGCCATATGACAAACCCTAGCCCTATCCTAGCCCTAATCCAACACCAAAGGTCAACCCCTAACTTGGAACCTAAACCCTGAAGCCAGCCCTGAAATCCAACCCCAATCTAGATCCTAAATCCCCACCATTAGCTCTAACACTAAACCCCCTAACGTCGACCCCTTTCCCTAAGCCCTAATTATGTGCTTACAGTCCAACCCTGAGGCTTAACCCTCAACCCAACCCCTGAACGCAACCCCTAAATCCCAAACTTTAACCCTTAGCCCTAAACGTGAGCCCCTTACCCAAACATTGGTCCGACCTATTAACCCTAGCCCATGAAATTATTCCTTAAGCCTAAGCTTAACTTTGGCCATGAATCCTAAAACCTAAACCCTAACCCTCAACCGAAAGCTTAACCCAATTGTGATCCTCGAAGAATGGGGGTGGGGAAATGCACGAATGGGAGCGGTATTAAGTGTGTTAGACTAGCATTAGAAGGAGGGCCTAGGGTAAGCTGAGTGCTAGATTTGGGGTTGGGGCCAGTTTCAGCGTTACATTTTTGTCAGAGTACAGTTTCCCCGCCGCATACCGCCTCTTACAATCATTTAGCATGCAAATCCCCGCCTACAATGCCTACCCAAATGAGATAAGCAGGTGTTTCAGACAAGTAGGGACTAGCTGAGGTCACATATTCGATCGTCATTGCTAACTCTGTCAAATACCTTAGCAACTGCCCATGTTGGCCGGGCACTCATTCTTTAGGCATTTTCGTATGATAGGAACTGGATTAGTTCTTTAAGTTACTGGCTAATTCTGTGAGCATTTTTAGGAGGGAACAAATCTGATATTGTGCGGCTGGAAGGAGACAACTGTCGACTGAATCACCGTAGGTAATAGACTGTTTTATGCAAACTTAACTGGGGCAGATCTCAAACAAACTGCAAAAGTCGTCTCCTGACAATGCTCCCATTTATATGCTCTTTGCTTCTGTAAAAATATGATGCTGCTTTCGGAAGATGGTGTTCGAAATGAGTATATTCGCGGTCTGTGATTTAACGTTGATCGTAACTAGTGCCATCTTATTGCTACCTATGCGGTTATTCCGTCTTATAAGGGTAACATAGATTAAACTCCCGATATAAGTGAAAAAAATGAGTTTCAAGGTGCAGTCGGAAGAAGGATACATAATCACTTATCCGATTCCGTCCCTGGTGATGGATTCAAGTGTGAATCGGAAACGTCAGACAAAGGGAACTATTGTTCCATTGATTAAACTACCAAATATGGTTGCATCAGCTTTTTTTCATTCAAACGCCTTGAACTTGGCCTAGAAGAATCGTCCTATGCCATCCTCTGATTCAGTCATAACACTTGTTGAAGTGAAAACTTACGACTTTTCCACATTAAAGCTTTAGTGTACTTAATCTAAATTTCTCCCCAGAGTACAAACAGATAAATAATGCGATTTGCGGCAAAATTTCTCCCTAAGCTTCCTCATGCAGTGGTGTTTCGAAAACTCGACATTTGTCTCCTTAAATAACTATTGTGAATTCTGAAGGAATTCGAGAATTTAGTGATGCGATCTCTGAAACTAGAAATTTCCTCGCCTAAAGTTTCGAATCCCCACTCCAATTCATCACCAGAGACGGCAACAAATGGTGATAGTAGGCATAAGAAGGGTCGGTATTTATTTGATGCTTTTGCTACGAAACCGCGTCTCGAACAAAATTAACGGCGTTCGCGCTCATAGCGGGCTGCCTACCGCGGTCATTGTTTGGTTATCCTAGTGTGCACGATTATCTTTTAAATGTCTTGTTCTCGTTCTTCTCGGTTACATCCTGAATCCCATATTTTTGCTTATATCAATAGCGGACGGACAAATCGACACTAACGGCGGGCCAATCCAAACACACTGTCCTACTGACCATTCTTACTTATCACGAAATTCCTTTATTAGCACAACGAGCCCTTGAAACCTGACATGAATATGCACTTCGGCTGCCTCGTTGACGGTACGCATACCTACATCTTAAATCGTCAAATAAACGTATAAAGGCATACGTTCGCCCAGAAATGCACAAGTTGGGCTGCCGTGTAATCGGAGCCTCTATTATATTATTCAGTTATGCTCAGCGGTTCCGAAGTCTTACCAATACCATCGATGAAGGGGTCAGCAGAAAAGCCCGGGAAGCAAAAATATCATTCGGACTGGGAAGTGAAGTAAGCTAGCTGCTTTCCTATTAAATTTCTGAATATTTGTTCTTCCGAACAATCTACTCCTTATCTTACAGGGATCCAAGACGGGAAACGTATGACCGATTCTGTCACATAAAACATGCCTGAACCTCTTTACAGTCCAATCGAGTCCTTTGGCAATGCCTAAAGGCTAATTTGTCACAGAGGGTGGCTTCTATTGGATAATAGCTTTCTGAACGGCGCATGACGCACGTTGCGCATTTGAGCAGACAGGACGACTCTCTCGTCGTCGTCATCGCAGTAGTCTAAATTAGACAGTAAAATTTGTAGTTGCAAACATATCATTTTCAATTGCACACTGAAATAATCACATGTGAAAATGAACCCAGAAAGCGTTTTGAACCACTAATACGAGAAGGCCAGAAAAGTGAATACACACCAAAGTTGTAGGCTGTAACAGATCAAGCGCTTTATTCTTGTACGACTGGAGTCCAGAAGGAAAAAATAAGGGCATAGCTGAATTGATGAAAAGGATTATATTTGTAAAAACAAGGAAGAAAAGGACCCGGTAAGCAAAGAAAATTAAAATCTTAAATAAAAATGACGAACAACGTAGAGGAATAGGAAAAAGGAAGAACTGGGACATAGGGGACAAAAAAGGTGCAATAAAAAGCAGTAAGGCAACCAAAAACCGGAAAAAGCGTCAGAAAGTATAACATGTGAATATAAAGAAGGCAGAGTGGAACAAGAAGTAAAATACAAAAATACATGCAGTTAATACTTCTCATCCGAATGTTACTCGTAGGACTCAGACATCGAACCTGTAAAGAAAACCGGCAGAGGGTGAACGGCATATCCACTGTCAGGACACTGCTTCCTCATTCCTGATCATGCGTTTCCCGTCAGCCTACTCACATACCAGCGCAAAATAATCAGCAAAAAGTGCACATCGCGAATCCCTCAGGCCTCTGTAGATTACTGTGTACATTGACGCTGGGCAGCGCGAATCAGAGAAGAGAAATGAAAGCGAGCACAGACTATGCCGAGGGGGTGAAGAAATGCAGTTGACACGCATGGACTCAGGATTCGGCCAACCACGAAATACTTTCTTACACGCGGACAAACAGCTTAAGATTTTTTTTAATGACCTAAAAGTCTGATGATGAGAAGCGGAAAAATTCATGAAAATTTGTAAAGTAAATTGTTATAACATTCCCCAAGAAGCCAATTGCCCTAAAGTAATCTGCATAGCCGGCCTGATTATAAATACTGTAGGAATAAAATCACGAATACCGAGTTAAAGCCCCAGGAAGAAAACAGGACAAAAAACTGAAAATCAGAACAATCCTAACTCGAGAGAAAGACAAGTGGGAGGGAATAAAAGGCAAACCGAGGAAATCAGAATTTCAAAAACACCAGCAAAAGACAGACACGTAGACTGACAGACATACTGGCAGACACACAGACTGGCCGAATGCCTCCAATGCGGACAGATGGCAATATGAAATTGGTGTTGGTGTAACACTACTACGTCTCCAAGTAATGCCATACATGACAATGTCCGCTGTCGGCTGAGGCGATATTAGAGAGACAGACTACTCATGCGTGGTGGCGAGCAGCATTAGAAGCAACACATTTGCCCAGAGGCAGAAGTCTACACATCATCAGAGTCAAGGCCTTCACGGTGGATAACATGCTGGCTGTTACGATGGCAATTCAGAGGGGAGAATGTGGGGCAGTGCAGGAGCAGGAGCAGCAGCAGGAGGAGGAGAACGATGAGGAGTGGGAGAAGGACGGCATGCTAAATCGGCTCTTCACATCTGAGGTCAAATAGGAGCAAAAGCACTTGCCTGGCCTGCCAGTCATCTTGTCGCCTGACAAGGACGATCCACTCTCTATCTTATATGCTGCAATGCAAAAAGATCAACCGTAACCATCTTCACACAAACGCACACAGACACATAGCCTGACAGACATACTGGCAGAGACACAGAGTGGCCGACTGCCTCCAATGCGGACAGATGGCAATATGAAATTGGTGTTTGTGTAACACTACTACGTCTCCAAGTAATGCCA